GAGCCGTCTATTCGTGACGTCATCGGCGTTCATGTATTCCGTTTCACCAAGAGCCATATGTTGCTCTTGATTTTACACAAAAGAAAGTCCAATTCAAAAGACCGCAGAAAGTGGTGCACGCTATAGAGCGTTTTCACTCACGTGGCCAGCGTCTATGCAAATTTATTGGAACAAAAGAAAGCGTGTACATCTGAAAAGAATTCGTCTCTCACAGGATTGATTTGGAACAGCAATATGGCCTCTGTGACGTCATGTGCTAAAGGCTTAGCATTAGCGTATTTACCCGTGTATAATGCGCACTTTTTTTCCCTGAAATCGACCTTCAAATTTACCTTTAATACTATATTTGCTTCGTTCGTAGATTTCTTCAAAGGTCAGAAAACGCTAGAGAGAACAAAAAGACAAGACAAGCATTTTAATATATATCCACTTTTAACTGTTGATTCTTTTGGGTGTTGCATTATTGTTTTCAGTTATGCGTTCTCGTTTTCTTTATTTTGTGCACCTCACTTGCACGAAACTGCTTGTCGCAATGTCACGCCATGTCGTTTCTAGCTCGTAGCAGACGCTTGAAAGTAATATGCAAGAAAGAACGGGGCGCGTGATGCAGACACGCTTATTACTTCCAGGCGCCTGCCACGTGGGCTAGGTCGTTCCATGCGCGGGAAATATGGCCAGTAGCCGTTACGTTGATTTTGCCTGCAGGTTACTCTCTTAAACTGACAGTGACTCCTTTTTTCTTTTCATAGATCATTTTCTGTCTTGAAATAGAGAGAAAAAAAAACAAGAATTAAAATAAAATTACATCGTGCTAAGCTTTAATTTCTTCTCACATGCGAGGAAATTTTTCCACGAATTCCGTTAAGCATAATTTGCAAGAATCCTTTTGTTTGCTTAATCGAAAGGAACGTGAAGGAATAAGCACATTTACATACAGCTATTTCGAGCAAGGTTGTCGGAAAAAGTGCACGCGACAATCCCGAAAGGTGTTGTGGGTGGTTTTGAGTGCACTCGGTTCTTCGAAGAAATCTGAAAGAATGGCACGAGGGGCCACGGACATGTTTTCGAGTGCTACAGGAAAGCAACAAATGTAGGTTCGACAGCTACATTCGTTAGAAACAGTGTATTGACCATATCCCATATTACCTTTCGGGATTGTGCGTGCACATTTTTTCCGACAACCTTTCTCGAAAAAGCTGTATAGCTGATTCGATAAAGGCTGCTTTGGGTATTGGGATTGGGAGTTGCGCATTGGGAAGTTATTGTCTGGTGGTCACTCAAGTAAATCATTGCATTGTTCCATATGCCCAATTACCAAAGCAACCTTTTTTGATTTAGCTGTATGTAATAGGACTACATGTTCTCCAATTTGGAAATGATTTGATGAAAAAAATTCCGAGGACATACGGCCTCATCCAATTCCGTTCTCAGAGGAATTTTTTTGAATTCAATTATTACCAAATTGGCCAAGCATGTAGTCCTCTGACTTGTTAATTATATAACTGGCTAGTTAATCCAGATTTGTTTATAGTCAAAGAGTGTCACAGAAATAATGGTGCACTCTCGATTCGTTTGTAGTTGAAACAAAAACATAGCAAGAAGCAAAAAAAAGGTTATTTTAATTGTCTGCAAACTTCTCATCAACAAGGCACAAACCTAGTACTAGTCTTGCTCTATAGCTCACACTTTGGCATTTTGTGTACGAGTATCATAATTTTAAGCCTAAATTCTATAAAAAGTGCTCTCAGTGATACGGTGCTACAAATGAAAACCACCATTTCGTGTTTAAAAAAGACAAAACAATGCAAATACTTAATTTAAACGCGAAAACTTTCGAGAAATAAGCATTCAATAAATTTTTTAGTGGTTAGCATTTCTATGGGGACAACCTATCAATTGTACGATCATATCTATTTTCTTAAAAGTCCACGTCCGACGTGTATAACCTGTTATATTGATCATTCTAAAGTGTTTTATCTTATTTCCTTTCTGACAGACTGACTTTCACCTTCACTGTAGAGAGTGGGACGAGTTGCTCGATTCCGAAGACTGGGAACCAGAAAAAATAATTAAGAAGCTCCCCGAGTTTTTCCAGTTTGTAAAAAAAGTTCAAGGGATTGTTATGGAAAAAAGAGGTAAGCGTGAATCACATTTGACAATTTTTATGGTTAGTTATAACGTCGCCTAACACTAATCACGGTCGTGAATGTATTTTAATTCTCGGGTAATTACCCAAATTTGAGCAGATGCACATTCTATTTTTATGATATTTTTAATAAACTTTTATCATTGCAATTAAGAAGACTTGTCTCTCAAACTAAATAAATAAATTTCCGTTATTTACCCTGGGCAGTATTTATAGCATTAATGTTACTGGGGCCTAGCAAATGCTTTAAACAAATAATTTAAATCAAACTTAATGGGGTTAAGAATCCCAACTGGCCGGAGGCAAACCAGCTGGCTATTTACAAGCGTGGTCGCCAGAAAATTTGAACTCGGG